TGAAGAAAAAAAAAAAAAAGCCGGTAATTACATTTAAAAACCGGCACTGACCTATAGTGACAGCGACTTTTGTTTTACTTTTTTTGACCTCCGGCAGGGATTAATTGGTTTTCAATGTGTTCCTATAGGAAACCGCGTTTCGGTTTACGAATTTTTCGCAATACGAAACGTCCCAGAGAACGCAATAAATTTGCAAACCAAGGTACACCTGTATACAGTATCTAACAGAAGTGAGTACTTATAACATTTTTGTAAATATTATATCTTTTCATGTGACAACACTGCAGAAATGACACTTTGCTACAATGTAAAGTAGTAAGTGCACAGCTTGTGTAACAGTGTAAATTTGTCCCCTCAAAATAACTAAACACACAGCCATTAATGTCTAAGCCGCTGGCAACAAAAGTGAGTACATCCCTAAATGAAAATGTCCAAATTGGGCCCAAAGTGTCAATATTTTGTGTGGCCACCTTTATTTTCCAGCACTGCCTTAACCCTCTTGGGCATGGAGTTCACCAGAGTTTCACAGGTTGCCACTGGAGTCCTCTTCTACTCCTCCATGACAACATCACAGAGCTGGTGGATATTAGAGACCTTGCTCTCCTCCACCTTCCATTTGAGGATGCCCCACAGATGCTCAATAGGGTTTAGGTCTGGAGACATGCTTGGCCAGTCCATCACCTTTACCCTCAGCTTCTTTAGCAAGGCAGTGGTCATCTTGGAGGTGTTTTTGGGGTCATTATCATATTGGAATACTGCCCTGCGGCCCAGTCTCCAAAAGGAGGGGATCATGCTCTGCTTCAGCATGTCACAGTACATGTTGGCATTCATGGTTCCCTCAATGAACTGTAGCTCCCCAGTGCCAGCAGCACTCATGCAGCCCCAGACCATGACACTTCCACCACCATGCTTGACTGTAGGCAAGACACACTTGTCTTTGTACTCCTCACCTGGTTGCCGCCACACACGCTTGACACCATCTGAACCAAATAAGTTTATCTTGGTCTCATCAGACCACAGGACAGTAATTCATGTCCTTAGTCTGCTTGTCTTCAACAAACTGTTTGTGGGCTTTCTTGTGCATCATCTTTAGAAGAGGCTTCTTTCTGGGACGAAAGCCATGCAGACCAATTTGATGTAGTAAGCGGCGTATGGTCTGAGCACTGACAGACTGACCCTTCACCCCTTCAACCTCTGCAGCAATGCTGGCAGCACTCATACATCTATTTCCCAAAGACAACCTCTAGATATGACGCTGAGCACGTGCACTCAACTCCTTTGGTCGACCATAGCGAGGCCTGTTCTGAGTGGAACCTGTCCTGGTAAACCGCTGTATGGTCTTGACCACCGTGCTGCAGCTCAGTTTCAGGGTCTTGGCAATCTTCTTATAGCCTAGGCCATCTTTATGTAGAGCAACAATTCTTTTTTTCAGATCCTCAGAGTTCTTTGCCATGAGGTGCCATGTTGAACTTCCAGTCACCAGTAGGAGACAGTGAGAGCGATAACACCAAATGTAACACACCTGCTCCCCATTCACACCTGAGACCTTGTAACACTAACAAGTCACATGACACCAGGGAGGGAAAATGGCTAATTGGGCCCAATTTGGACATTTTCACTTAGGGGTGCACTCACTTTTGTTGCCAGCGGTTTAGACATTAATGGCTGTGTGTTGAGTTATTTTGAGGGGGAAGCAAATTTACACGGTTATACAAGCTGTACACTCACTAAGTCACATTGTAGCAAACTGTCATTTCTTCAGTGTTGTCACATGAAAGGATATAATAAAATATTTACAAAAATGTGAGGGGTTTACATATATATCTAACTCTATCAACACATGGGGCGTCTATGAAATGCAAAATTTCAGTAAAAAAAAATACACCTATGGTAATTTTAGGGCACAAATAGCAATAAATTAAACCAATTTTTTTGTAAAATAAAAAAAGACGAGGTTGCATCGAGTAAACAGATATCCAACATGTCAAACCTTAAGTTTGCGTACGCTTGTGAAACGGCAACAAACTTTACTACCCTTTTCTATAGTTGATACATTTAAAGCCCCTTTATAGGTCATCAGTTTAGCGTTACGGAGGAGGTCTGGTGCTAGAAATATTACTCTCATTCTGGCGTGCGAGGCGATATGTAACATGTGCATCACAATCGACGTTTTCATGTGTAGGTACCCAAGCGTGTGCTTTTACATTTGTATATGCGTATATGTGGGGGTGGGTTATATGCTTGGGTGTAGCTTTCATTTAAAAAAAAATACTTTTACTTATTTTTTTTTAATCACATAGGGGACAAAAAGTCTCCTATGTGATGATTTTTTGGTGACAGGTGCTCTTTTTTGAGACATCCAGGGTCTAAAAGACCCTGCATGTCTCCCCTGTACTACACTGCATGTAATGTAGTGCACACCGCACTGCATTACATTCCTTCCCGGCTTCGATGGCCAGGAATCTGTCAATGGGGACCCGGAATTGACATCACATCACTTCCAGGTCAGGACAAAAAGGGGAGTCCCACCGGCACCCACGGAACCAGTCCCGGGCCTGCAGATGGACAAGCGGACAAGCTGCTGACCGCATGCTTGCACCTGACAGGTGAGCCCTGGGCTAAAGGTATTGGATTTGTTTTTTTTTTTACCAAAGACATGTATCAGAATACATCATTTATATCACAAAAAATAGCAAACCCAGAGTTGATCAAAGGCCACCAAAAGAAAGGACATATATATTGTTTGGGTACAGTGTTGCATGAGAGCGCAATTACTAGTTTAAATAGTGCAGTGCTGAATAGCAAAAAATGGCCTGGTCATCAACTTTACCAGTATTGTGCATTATATTTAAAATTAGGATATCCATACAAAAAGCCTTTATCCCCCCTCCACCCTTCTCATAGCTTCATGGCTGACTTCCAGTTAACCACTTGACCTCCAGAGGATTTACCCCCCTTAATGACCAGGCCTCTTTTTGCTACTCGGCGCTGCACTAATTCAACTGATAATTGCGCGGCCATGCAATTCTGCACCCAAACGAAATTTACGTCCTTTTTTTCACACACATAGAGCTTTCTTTTGGTGGTATTTGAACATCTGTGCGCTTTTTATTTTTCACGCTATAAACAAAAAAAGGCCAAAAATTTTGAAGAAAAACAATATTTTTTACTTTTAGCTATAAAAAATATATAGTAAACTCAAAGTTGGTTATAAATTTAAGCCAAAATGTATTCTGCTACATGTTTTTGGTAAAAAAAAATCCCAATGAGTGTATATTGATTGCTTTGTGTGAAAGTTATAACGTCTACAAACTATGGTATAGATACTGCAACTTACGCCATTTTTCTGCTATACAGCGCTGCGCTAGTTTAATGGACAATTGCGCGGTCATGCAATACGGTACATAAATGAAATTTACATCCTTTTTTTGCTCACAAATTGAGCTTTCTTTTGGTGGTATTTGATTGCCTGTGCGGTTTTTATTTTTTGTGCTATAAAAAAAAAGGCTGACAATTTTGAGGAAAAAAAAAACAATATTTTGGACTTTTTGCTATAAAACATGTCCAGTAAAAAAAAAATGCAAAAATCAAATTTAGTAATAAATTTCTGCCAAAATGCATTTTGCGACATGTCTTTGCTAAAAAAAAAAAAAAAAAAACAATACATGTAAATTAATTGGTTTACGTGAAAGTTATAGCGTTTACAAATGGCGGGAAAGATACTGGGATTTTTAGGGGTTTTTTTATACTAATAATGGCAGCGATCAGCGAATTATGGCAGCAACCAGCGACTTATGGCAGGACTGCGGCGGACATTCTGGCATTGGGGGGTACTGACTTGGGGTCACTGACATCCCCAAAAACACTAAAACAGTAATCAGTGCAAAAAGAAAAACACTGACACTGTACTAATGGCAATGGGGAGGAAGGGGTTAACTATATTTTGCAGAAAAGGGTTACAGGAGTGAGGGGAGCGTTTTACTAGGGGGCGGGGGTGTGTACTGGACGGGACAAGGCTGATCGAGAGAGAGAAACTCTTCTGTCTCGATCAGCTCGTCCTCGAACTGACAAGGAAGTGACAGACAGCACAGCTACTGCAGCTGTGCTCTCTGTCACTGTTTACCGCCGATCGCCGGGAAACAGCCGCTAAGGACCGGCTGTGACCCGGCGACTCACATCTGTGGCGGTGATCGGCGGGACAGATAGGGCGGCAGCGCACCTCGCGTGCGCCCCTATTTGTTTACAAAACACGTTTTAAAACGTGGTTTTGCCTGCCAGTGCCGCCCTATATCTACAGTGGCTGGGCGGCAAGTGGTTAAAGGGCCAGGAGGCGCTGAAGTTAAGGGGTTAAAAGGGATTTTAACATGGATTTATTTTTTTTCAAATAATCAACATGTCCTATTCTCCTGTGCTGTGCAATTGTTTTGCACAGAGAAACCCTGATCCTCCTCTTCTGGAGTCTCTCGCCAACGCTTCTGACTCCTTCTGCCTTCAGAGTGCCCCCAGAGCAAGCCACAAAGTATAGTATAGAGTGCCCCTGTAGCAGGGTAAAAATCCTTCTTCCTTTAGAATCACTTTAACCACTTGCCCTCCAGAGGATTTACCCCCTTTCCTGACCAGCCATTTTTTTGCGTTGCGGCGCGGCATTACTTTAACTGATAATTGCGCGGTCATGCAACACTGAACCCAAATTAAATGTATGTCCTTTTTTCCCATGAATTGAGCTTTCTTTCAGTGGTATTTGATCACCTGTGCGTTTTTTATTTTTTGCGCTATAAGGAAAGAAAAAAAAACAACTTTTTGCTATTAACCACTTGCCTACAGGGCACTTTTACTCCCTTCCTGCCCAGGCAAATTTTCAGCTTTCAGCGCTCTCAGACTCTGAATGACAATTGCATTCATATGAAATTTGTATCTTTTTTTTAGACAGATAGAACTTTCTTTTGGTGGTATTTAATCCACTGAAAATTAAAAAAGAAAAAAAAAACACTTAGTTTCTGTTATAAAATTTTGTAAATAAGTGATTTTTCTCCTTCACTGATGTGCGCTAATGAGGCTGCATAGATGGACACTGATAGGCTGCACTGATGAGGAGGCACTGGTAGGTGGCACTGATGGGCATTGACAGGCATCACTCATATACGGCACTGACTGGCACTGATAGGCGGCACTGAAAGGCAGCTAAGATGGGCACTGATATGTGGCATTGATGTGCACTGGTAGGCACTGATATGTGGTAATGATGTGGCACTGATCATCAGGGCACAGCGTGAAAGCTCGTGAGAAGAGGAATGCCGATAACTGTCATTTCCTTATTTACATGCGATCAGCTGTGATTGGACACAGCTGATCACATGACAGAGCCAGCGTCATCGGCTCTTTACGCTGATCGGTGATCCGCTGTGTCCCAGGGACAGGGGACAGGGGTGCTTTACTGTAAGCACACTCATTGGGATGGCTTTGCTGTGCACAGCCATTCCGTGCAGTGTGCTCAAGCTGACAGAGAGGAAGACTGTTTGTAAACAAAACAGTCTTCCTCCCCGTCGGCGATTGTGAGTAATCACCGGCTGGGACCCAGTGATTGACATCCGCAGCCGCGAATGGCGGTGGAGGTAGGGCAAGCGCGCCTCCTACCTGGAAATGCAAAATCACGCATATATACGTGAGTTTGTGCACCCGTGCTGCCGTGTAGCAGTGTATCTGCTATACGGCGGCGGGTAAGCGGTTAAATCACTCCTTCCTATGAAGCATTGCTCCTCACACATTTACATGTTCTCAGGCACTTACTGACATGTATGGACAGTGTACGGAGCTGTATGTGTGCAGCACTGTATATATTGACACAGGGATATTCAACTCCTATCACCTGATGCCCAGGACGAAGTTTGTTTTTATTTATTTATTTTTTTTTACATTTAGCCCTGCTGCGGGCAAGCAGCAGGGTTCAGAGTCAGTGGTCAGCTCTCTTGTAAAAGAAATCCAAGTGGCCAACTAGCCACTGGATTACTTTTACAAACTACAGGAGGAGACATCCCCCCCCCCCACGGGCTGTCCCGTCCCACGGAACATCCAATCGACCAGCCGGCGCTTCCGCTGGCTGATCATATAAACGGACATATACTGATATTGTTCTGTCTGCCTCTATGATATAGGAAACAGGAAGCAATGAGCATACATCACTTCCAGCTTCCCCAGATGTAAACTGCTCCATTTTGAAAAATAAAAAAAGCATTTGATCACACCGATCTTGGTTACATGTCCTTTAAAAACACTCAGAAAGCATGGCAAAAGCGCAGAAAAGATGCCTATGCATTTTTGTTGTGTTTTTGAGGCGGATAAGTGAAAGTAGGCTTATACAATATGCATCCCCTTAAAGTCAGTATGGCAAGTATACCGGTCTATTAAAAAAAGCAAATATGTCAGGGAGTGGTCGTGGGCTGATGAGTATAGAAAATGCTGCATGTAAGCACTGTGTCCAGTTCTGGAGATCTCACCTACAAAATCATATCAAGGGCCGGTTCATACCATAGAAATGCAGTCCGGATGCATTTCTACATAGGTTTTTTCATTTGTGCTCTGTGTTCTCTTCATCGTAAGTATGGATTTGTGCATTCCGGTGTGTTTAGGTACTTTCCGGTATGTTTTTCTGCATTCCAGTAAGTTCATGGCAGATAAAATGTAGCATGTTCTTTTTTTCTGGAACTGGAAGGCACTAGAACTGACCGCACTTGTGTCAACTATGCTATTGGAAACCAAATAACCTACTACTATCTATGCGTTTTTGATGCAGAGAACACACACACACACTACATGTGGTGTGCACTGGCCCTAAGATACAACAGTTACAGGGATTGGCAGCAAAAATGGTGAAAAGTCTGGGGGATAAAATATCAGGGGAGACTTCAGGAAACTAAGTACAATCTAGAGGAAAGAAAGGAAAGGGGAGACATCACCAAAACCTTTAAATACATCAAGGGGCTGAATAAGGTCCAGGAGGGCAGCATTTTCAATATGGCATCCAGATCAAGAACATGACCTCAAGCTAGCAGGAGGAAAGTTCAAAATTAAATCTTGGAAAGTTTTTATCTTACCAAAAGAGTAGTTGATGGTTAGAATATACTTTCAGCAGATGTAGTAATTCAGTAAACATTAAGTAGATGCAAGCATGCTTGGGACAAGCATAAATCTATGCTTACACTATAAAGTAACAAAACAATGGGGCAGACTCATTGGACCACTTTTGGTTTTTTCTGTCATCACTCTTTTATGTTTTAATTGTTCAATCCCCTGCCTGGGATTTATGTTACTGAACCTAACTAAACATGCCTATGCAGGGGCGGACTGACAACTCATGGGGCCCCCGGGCAATATGGGATTATGGGGCCCGTGTCCTTGCCCAAACTCAAAAAAGCCTACAAAAAAAGGTACCAGGGGCATTTCATGGGGCCCCCTACTGACCCCGGGCCCTCGGGCAGCGCCCGAGTTACCAAATGGTCAGTCCGCCCCTGCACCTATGATTAAATTGAAAACACAAAATAAAATATATATTTATATATTATGCCTTACCACTGCAGCTTCAAAAGCAGCCAAAGATCCTCTTGACCTAAAGCAGAACTACCTCCTCTCAAACAGTCCACCGAGCTGTTGACTGACAGTCAATGGCAATGGGTGGATTCATAGACCCGATTTACTCTAACACCTAATAAAAACTGTATCCTCCAAGTTAAAAAAAAAATTAGAATGAAAACATCTTAAACAAGCGGGAGTCACTGGAGCAATACATACAATAAACCTCCAATAAAAAAAAATCTTAGTTCTGACTACAACGCCTGTAGGTTGACAAAAATCTCAATACAACACACCAGAGCAGGTTTGGATAATCATATAAAACGACACTTTATTAATCAATACATCTTGATCTTAATGTCACGGCTCCCGGGCACATCTATTTTCGCCCGGTCTTCCTTCTGAGTTCACAGAGTCTGGTTGTGTGAATGGCCGGGGCTGCGATGACGTGATAATAATGAATAGAATACTTGGTGATTCTGCCATGAAGGTCAGGCACTTCCAGTTATGGGGTAACAACTGTCTTTCACACTGATGCATTTTAACCTGTCATACGTGATCTTGGCTGAAAGTACAAGCAGCCATGCTGCGGTACATTGGGCAGACTTGGTTCACTGTTGTCACTGTCAGGAAACCAATCCACAACAATGATGTGCACCGGAGTGCATGTAGACTGTCAGTGACTAAGGAACCAATCACCCCACAACACGGTGCACATTTTTATATGTTGCACTAGGCAGCCCATACATTTTAAAAGGCCCCTGAATGCACCAGGGTCCTGCTCTATTTTTCAAAACTCAGCAGGTCAGATCACACAAATAATTCCTATCTGTGCATTGTGGTGGGAAGCAATTGTTTACGATACAATGGATAGCACTGATCAAAACTGAAGCAAACAGAATCTCGAGCTGCGGTGCATATTAACCAATCAGCTCGGTCCTCAGATTGTTCAGTCAGTGCTCATATGCGCACTGGACGTTTTTACAGCTGCTGTTTTTGGCTTTTGACATTTTTTCCTACAGCTAGTAAACTCCCCGGCATGTTATCATATATGTCCAGGCACACATAGACTGTAATCAACGTTTTTTGGCAGGGACGTTTTTTGGCTGGAAAAAAAAACCCCAGAACTAGTGGGTTTCTAGAAGAGTTTTTTAGCTGTAAAAATGCTCTAACACTAAAAAAAAGTGGCAAAGTGCCGCAAACCAGCGTTTTTGGACGTTTTTATTTTACCCCCAAAAATTTATTTTTTGGGGGGGTAAAAAAAAAACGCAACCATGGAAAAATGCGGGTAAAACCGCCGCTAAACACGAATGCAAAAACACTAAAAAAAAAAAAAAAGCAGAAACACTCAGGTTTTTAACATGACTTTACACAGCTAACGTTACCAGCGTTATCAAAACGTCCCATGTGCATGAGGACTTAGGCTGGCCATACATTATACAATTATCTGCAGATTTTTGGTTTAGATTTACCAAAAACCATATAATAGGAGGACAAACCTAAACAACACTTTCAGTTGTATCCAATTAGGCAGGCCTTGCACTACATAGTTGAAGGTAAATCTAAAGGAAATTGGGCAGAAAATCTGCAGATAATTGTATAATGTATGGCCAGCCTTAGGCTTTGAAAATGAAAGCTTGAAGCTGGATGGTTCTCAAGCACAAAGTCTCTCTGCTCCAGTTTTGATAAATTCTTTTCACAGAATTTGCAGAACTTAGGCTGGCCATACATTATACAAATTTCTTGAGAATTTTGCTTTAGATTTACCAAAAACCATATAATATGAGGTCAAACCTAAACAACACTTTCTGTGTTATCCAATTAGGCGGGCCCTTGTTGAAGGTAAACCTAAAGGAAATTGGGCAGAGACTGAACAGAAAATTGTATAATGTATAGACAGCCTAAAATATCTGAACCTGTTGCAGGCAAAGAGGCACACGTTCATCCCTATCCCATATGTGTTTACATACAGTCAGCTTGTCATTGGTTTGCACAGACTCATGCTGCCCATACACTAGCAGACGAATCAGTCAAGCACAAAGTAAACAAAAAATTGTTTGTTTAGAGCGGTCTACCATCAAGCAGTACTAAATTTTGACCAATAAATCCTAAGAATGCCATACTATTTACATACGATTTGACACTCAAATAAGTTCATGCAAACAAACTTTGAACTTCTGTGATCACATATATATCCGGGCAGGGATGCAGTGCAAGTTTAAAGACCAGTGCAGTGCAATTTTATTCATGTGCTGCAGGTGTGATTCTGATGCGATTTGAAAACTGCGCCCTCACTGCACTGCAAACCACACAGAACCCTTTTTAAAATCTCACCGAGGCAGGCCTGATCGTATATGGACGGGATTCACAGAAGAGTGTTTATTTCACAGGTAATGCATATCAGTGCTAGACAAGACAATGGTAAGCTGATGCTACCTGGTTAGAAATTCTCCAGCTAAAGCTTGAAATCACCGCACCAGAGCAGCAGTCTCCATCTGCTCACATATGGACATCCAAAAAAAAAACCAAAATGTCGGGAGCAAGGTGAAATAAAAAAAATTCTTTATTGTAGGCAAGGAGGAAAATATTCCATAGAGCAACCAACGCATTTCAGTCAAGAAAAGACCTTATTCATAGCCTTCCTCCTTGCATTTAATAAAGAACTTTTTTTATTTCACCTTTTTGCCAACATTCCGGTTTTTTTTTTGGATGCGAATCAGTGTGGTTTAAAAACGCATCCGAATCTGCATATACAGCATATGGATCAAGGCTCAGTTCTCTTTGAAATGCGCATTACACACACACACACACACACACACACAACAATTTTTGCTGGCTGAAAATCACAGTTAGCCCCCCC